TTTTTTTTTGAGACGGAGTTTCACTCTTGTTACCCAAGCTGGAGTGCAAGGGCACGATCTCGGCTCACCCGCAACCTCCGCCTCCTGGGTTCAGGCAACTCTCCTGCCTCAGCCTCCTGAGTAGCTGGGATTACAGGCACACGCCACCATGCCCAGCTAATGTTTTGTATTTTTTTGGTAGAGACGGGGTTTCACCATATTGACCAGGATGGTCTCGATCTCTTGACCTCGTGATCCACCTGCCTCAGCCTCCCAAAGTGCTGGGATTACAGGCTTGAGCCACCGCGCCTGGCCGCTTTTTTTTTGTTTTTTTTTAATAGAAACGGGGTTTCTCCATGTTGGCCAGGCTGGCCTCGAACTCCTGACCTAAGGTGATCCACCCACCTCGGCCTCCCAAAGTGCTGGGATTACAGGCATGAGCCACCACGCCCAGCCCAAATTTTTTTTTAACTTTTGCTTGCTGGGTTTTTTTCCCCAAAAAAGTATAAATACTTTTTTTTCCTCTTGATAACAAGGAAACACAGATAAATTGTTTTTAGATTATTCAAGCTGTCACTATCCCTCAAGTTGATTACTGTAAGATATGTCTTTTCAATGTAAAGTATCACAGTTATGGAGTTTGGGATATAGCCACGGCAACCACAGAATATGTGGTGGGTTTTTTTTTTTTTTTTTGAGACGAGTCTTACTGGGGTGCAGTGGCACAATCTCGGCTCGCTCAACCTTCCGGGTTCAAACGATTCTGCTGCTGCTGCCGCCTCGCCCTTCCGGAGTAGCTGGGACGACAGGCGCGTGCCACCACGACTGGCTAATTTTTTGTATTTTTAGTTGGGACGGGGTTTCACTGTATTAGCCAGGATGGTCTCGATTTCCTGACCTTGTGATCCGCCCACCTCCCAAAGTTCTGGGATTACAGGCGTGAGCCACCACACCTGGCCCATACCCTAGTGTTTTAAGATTTCTGATCTCTACGTGACTTTTAGGGAAAGTCAGACAACACCAAAACAATTGTAACAAAAAAATTTAAGTATTTTTAAGGCTCTATTAATTATGACCTCAGTGCTTTTTTTTTTTTTTTTTTTTTTTTTTTTTTTTTGGCAACACTACAAAGGAGAAAGATATTATCAAATGTATTATTACATCATTGGCACAGTTTCTATTGGTATCTACTTGCTTTGTGGTACAGAAAATGTTTATGATTTAGATTTCTCCTAATTTAGAAATTGCCCCCGTTCACTTCTTTTGTGACCCTCCAGATGTAATCTGAACTTTCAGGAATAGTTCAATCTCAGTGTTACAAATATTGGTTTCCCCCCCTCCCTGGAATTCTATCAGAATGTTTCTGTCACTTTTGAAACTTTCTTATTCTGGTGCAACATGCCAAGAAACCCAAGTATAAAATAGTGACTGTTTAATCTTACTTTGGCACGTGTGCCCGTCCTTATAAATCTAGACCCTGTGCATTACATGCATACCGCTAACCCTACGGATCTCCTAGTAAACAATCTTACAGACCCCACTTGAGGCTTCTGAAAAAGAATCAATTACCTTAAATGTTATTAGAGCTCTTCATAAACTACTGAGCAAGAGAAGCGAATCTTGCAAAGACGCGGTCCGCAGTTCCCAAAGCGCTGCCCCGCCCCGCCCCGCCCCGCCCCGCCCCCTGTCTAGGAACACCTGGTGAGGACAAACCTTCGCTAAGAAGCGGAGGCCGCCAGTGCTCACCACACAGGAATGAGAACATCTGGCTTGAGAATACCCATGCTCTGCCACATTCTTCTCTCTCCCCACCCCGCCTAAAAAAAAAAAAAAACACAGTGAAGCGTAAATCTTGAGTCCTTCAGTACCTTCTCAGAAACGGCGGCTAGGAGGCTTCACAGGGGATTCCTGACAGGGGACCCAGACGGTCGCGCGGGTCCTCAAGCCCTCTAGACGGGACAGTCTCAGTCCCGAAGGGAGGGCCCAGGAGGGCTGGAGCCGTCCCAGCTTCCTGCAGGGGACCCCGCGTGCTGGCCCCGAAGCAGTGGCAGTCGGGGTGGCGCTCTTCTTCCGCTCTTCTCTTCGGGGTCTCGGTGCCCCTCAGAGCAGGGCGGGAGATAGCTGAGGAGGCGCCCTCAAGTTCACCTCAAGGTCCGGACGCCAGCCCCGCCGCGGCTTCCCCAGACCGGCTTTGCGTCGGCCCTGGCGGATGCGGAACGATCAACTTGACCCCCCAAGCAGGAGCCGGCTTCACCTGGGAAGCAGCCCAGCAGCCCGGAGGCCACGCCCAAGGGAGGAGCCTGCGGACGCCCCGCCGCGTGGAGCGAGCCAGGTGAGCACGCCTGCGCAGTCAGGCCGTAAACAAGCCCGCCCCTTCTCTTCGGCCCGCCTTCGTGGGGATGGCCCGCGGGTGGGAGGGGCGAGAAGGAAGAGGCAGGGGGTGGGGGGAGAGCGAGCACCAGGAACAGCGCCTGCGCGGTGGGCGTGATCCGGGCACTTAGGGCAGGATGAACGCTGCTTTCCAAGATGGCGACGGAGGGAGGAGGGAAGGAGATGAACGAGATTAAGACCCAATTCACTACCCGGGAAGGTCTGTACAAGCTGCTGCCGCACTCGGAGTACAGCCGGCCCAACCGGGTGCCCTTCAACTCGCAGGGATCAAACCCTGTCCGCGTCTCCTTCGTAAACCTCAACGACCAGTCTGGCAACGGCGACCGCCTCTGCTTCAATGTGGGCCGGGAGCTCTACTTCTATATCTACAAGGGGGTCCGCAAGGTACCGACCCGGGCGTCACCGGGGCCCGCCAGCAGCGTGGGCAGAGGCCGGGAGCAGGGCGGTGACAGCAGGGCCAGGGTGACCGAGACGGGTGGCCGTCGCTCTTACTTTTGAGTGGGCCGGTAACTCCACTGGGGTGCTCCTGAGGAGAGGGGATTCAGGAGTGAGGAGGGTGGTGGCGGTGGCGTTTCGAAGGAGTGGGGGCTGTGGAAAGGGACCGTGGGGCGCGGGGTTCCGCCTGGGAGTCTCCTGGAGGAGCCGGCTGCGTCCCCTCCAGCCTGGTCCGTCAGGCTCTGACATGGCCAGGGAGCGGGCCTGCGAGTCCCCGGAAGAGGTGGGGTGGCCGTCTTGTCTGCTTCGCTTGCCTAGCCTCCCTGGAGGCTTGGAAGTCCCTCCCTGGGTTAGAGAACAGGGGCGCAAGACGGCTTAGCAAGATCTCAGTAAGGCGGAACCCGGGCCGGGGAGCGGAGGACCGAGACTAGGTCAGAAAGAACCTGCTCGGCACGCAGGGCTACTCCACCTGCTGCCGCACTGACACTTCCTAGGAGCTTCTCCTGGTGTTAACACTTCTATTTCCGAAAACATCCGCGGGAGGACGGCTGTCACTGTCTCCGCCGAGGGGACCTTCTCAAAGATTGTTAAGGAGGGTCATCTTGTCCCTGTAGTATGAGAAGGGCTGAGTACTACAGTTGTTGGCAATAATGTTTCCAGGTTCAGAGGGGTGGTGTGTGAGTGCCCAGATTAATCTTGTCCAACAAGTCAGACTGTGTCCCAAACAGGGAGGAATATGCCTTAAAAGCTGCTTTAAAGGGACCATCCTTTTTGGCGGGTGAGTTACCAGTAATTCTGTGAAGCATGTAAGCATCCTTTAAAAGTATCTCTTTAAAAGCAGCAATTTATTAGAGCTTTTCTTTCATTGGCTATGTAACTATGTTTTCAGTGAGAATTGCTTATTTTTGAGATTGTAGTCTGACTTGATTTCATGGAAGAGTGAGGAAATTAATGCATCCTACACCACCTCCAAATGGGACAAGGTGATAAAAGATTAATTCGTAAATGTATGTTAGTATGAAAATAAATTGTGCATAGTGAAGAGTGAACATTCCCTAGGATTTAAGGATTTTTGCTTGTTAAAAGAGCTGGGGAAATGACAGTGGTATCTAAATGTAGCAAGTTGTTTCTTTCGTTCAGGGTGAATCTTTTTTATTAGCGTTTATGATAAGTGTTTAGGGTATGCTGTTGGAAGTTATTGAAGGTAAATCGCTTGACCTTTTTTTTTTTGTCTTTTGGTATTGCAAAAGCTTGAAGTAGTCTTCAGTCTAGGAGCTGAAGTTTTACTCCTACTTCCAACATTGTCACTTACTTGTTGGGTGACCTTGGATAACTTAGTCAACTTACATTTGCACCTCTTTAAAAAGGGAATGTTACAGTGCACGTGTTGTAATTAATAATATAATAACTGTGGCCAGGCATGGCTCATGCCTGTAATCCCAGCACTTTGGGAGGCCCAGGCGGACGGATCACCTGATGTCGGCAGTTCGAGACCAGCCTGACCAACGTGGAAAAACCCCGACTCTACTAAAAATACAAAATTAGCCGTGCGTGGTGGTGCATGCCTGTAATCCTAGCTGCTTGGGAGGCTGAGGCAGGAGAATCACTTGAACTTGGAAGGCAGAGGTTGCAGTGAGCTGAGATTGCACCATTGCACTCCATCCTGGGCAACAAGAGTGAAGCTTTGTCTCAAAAAAAAAAAAAAAAAAAAAAAAAAAAAAAAATATATATATATATATATATATATATATATATAAAATAACTGTAATGAACTTTAAGGCCCTGAAGCACTCAGTATATGTAAAATATAGTTAAATACTAAGAGTAACTGTCAAATAAGAAGCTGCCATCTTGACGTTGATATTCAGAATGAAAGGATCAATTTTGTCTCTGGAAATTAAATTAGAATTTTAATTTTTAAAAATGCAATGTGCCTAAAAACTAAATTAACTAGCAATTGTTAATGCAGGCATTACTTTAAAAAATTTTTTTCTGGCTGGGTGCGGTGGCTCATACCTGTAATACAAGCACTTTGCAAGGTCAAGGCGGATGGATCATCTGAGGTCAGGAGTTCAAGACCAGCCTAGCCAACACGGTGAAACCCTGTCTCTACTGAAAATGCAAAAATTAGCCAGGCATGATGGCATGCGCCTGTAATCCCAGCTACTCAGGAGGCTGAGGCAGGAGATAGCTCTTGAACCCGGGAGGCAGAGGTTGCGGTGAGCTGAGATTGCGCCACTGCAGCCTGGGTGATAAGAGACTCTGTCCCACCTCCAACAATTTTTTTTTTTTTTTTTTCTTTGAAGGGTTGTTACTTTAGAAGCATCCTAATGGCAAAACTTATCTGGATCCAGTAGCCCTGGTTTACATCATAAAGATAGGTTTCTTGCCTGGAAATATTGTAATAGTGTTCTCTTTTAGTGGGACGCCATTCACTGAAGGGTAAAAGTAGGCAAGGTTTTTAAAACTATACCAAAAAATTATTTTAAATAAGATGAATCTGAAATACATAAATTGCCCTTACCTGCACAATTTGAGTGTTTTAACGTGTTTGAGGGGGGTAAGATTTCATTTTCATGTGGTAGTATCTGGTAGATAAATTTGCATTATGTCGCAGATGTTTCAACTCTTTTTTAATTGTAACTTAAAATTTTTTTCCATGAATGACTTTGCATTTATTTATTGTTATTTCTGAGTATAAGTGACTTTTTGTGACTATTTTTTGATTTAAAATATAGGAAATAAATTTTCCTTAATTGGAAAACCAAAATTTACTTTTTAGAGTTAGTAATGTTTATTTTTGACAGTTGGCCATTAAACATATTTTTATTTTTGTTTTTAGAGACAGGATCATATTCTGTTGCCTAGGCTGGAGTGCGATAGCATGCTTATAGTTCACAACAGCCTCAAACTCCTGGGCTCAAATGATCCTCCCTCTTAAGCCTCCCTAGTGCCTGGAACACAGGCATGCACCACCAAGCCTGGCTAATTTTTTTTTAAAAATTTTGTTTTTAAGAGATGGAGGTCTTGCTGTGTTGCCCAGGCTGGTCTTCTGGCCTCAAGCAGCCTTCCTGCCTCAGCCTGCTAAAGTGCTGAGATTATGTATGTGACTTTACCACGCCCAGCACACAGTTGGCTGTTTTGACTGTTTTTTTTTTTTTTCCTTTGAGGCATGTACAATTTTACAACAATTATTTGGATTATTCAGAAGATCTAATTTTGATGAATAAATTCAACTTAAGTCTGTATGTAAAATGAGTAGAAAATAGGTCTTTTCAAGAACTTAAATCATGAATTATGTGCTGCCATTCCTGAGGGGAAGCATGGGGTCCTGGGGAAATGGAGTGGGTGACGAAGTAGTCTAACATTCACGCTGAGGAGTGCAATCTTGACCCTTTTAAAAAGGTTTACAGATCAGTGTCTGGAGCTAGAAGGAACTTTACCTCCTCAGAGAAAACCAAGGCCAGAGATGGGATGCAAACCTGTATTAGAATTTTTTCTCATAGTAAGGAAAATGAAGCCTAACTGAATCTAAACAACTATCTTAGAAGCGGCTGAGCTTTTTATATCATATACTCCAAGCACTTCAGAATCTACCCCAGCATTTTGCCATATATTATTTTATTGAATCCTTGAGGTAAATTAAAACATCTTTTCACAATCGAGGAGGTTTGAAATCAGGTTTCTTGTATGAGGAGATATAGTTTTGCAAATTTATTGAACTAAAGCCAGTATTAACATTGATTTAATGCTGACACTAATGATTTCACCAGATTTGAGTGACTACTGTGATAGTAATAATACTAGGCAAGATGATGTGAGGTACTCAGAGCCCATAAGACCCTGTCCCTCTCCCCAAAAGACTTTCAGCTACTAGCTCTCAAACATCTTTATTACATACTTTGTTCTCCTTTTTGAAAAAGAGGTTGTATTCGGGTGCAATGGCTCATGCCTGTAATCCCAGCACTTTGGGAGGCTGGGGTGGGAGGATCACTTGAGCCCAGGAGTTTGCGACCAGCCTGTTCAATGTAGCAATACTCTGTGTCTTCTAGAAAACAAAAACAAAAAAAATTAGCTGGACATGGTGGTATGTGCCTGTCCAGCTACTTGGGAAGCTGAGGAGGGAGCATCTCTTGAGTGCAAGAGTTAAGGTTACAGTGAGCCATGGTTGTGCCACTGCACCCCAACCTGGGCAACAGAAGGAGACCCTGTCTTTTAAAAAAAAAATTGCTGGGGACTATGTGCGGTGGCTCATGCCTGTAATCCCAGCACTTTGGGAGGCTGAGGCAGGTAGAGCACCTGAGGTCAGGAGTCCGAGACCAGCCTGGCCAATATGGTGAAACCCTGTCTCTACCAAAAATACAAAAATTAGCTGGGCGCTTGCCTGCAGTCCCAGCTACTTAGGAGGCTGAGGCAGGAGAATCGCTTGAACCCAGGAGGCAGAGGTTGCAGTGAGCCAAGATTGTACCACTGCACTCCAGCCTGGGTGACAGAACTAGACTCTGTCTCACAAAAAAAAAATTGTTTCAGGATGTAGGATATAAAAGATGTCAAAGGTGTAGCTGGGCTTATTGGACCAATCCTCTTATTTCATAGAGATCTGTTTTCACATAAATATGAGTGGCCTCCAGGCCGGGCGCGGTGGCTCAAGCCTGTAATCCCAGCTACTCAGGAGGCTGAGGCAGG